ACAGGGAAGGACAGGAATGTTTCCTGGCAACGCCATCACACTGTTCTATTTCTCTGGTTGGAACTCAGCCAGGGTGTCATAGCAACCATCACTCCATGGCGATATGATTTCCCCTTAGAATGCGATGATCTCATCGCCTGACAGAAGAAATTCCATAGTCTGTGTTTCCACTGGCGACTGGGGTTTACACCATGGATAAAGTTACTTCAGATGTCGTGCAGTTACAGCAGATTTTCCTTCCTTACCGTTAAGGATAGTTTAACCAAAGTGAAACACGCAATTGGCTTAAAAGATAAAAATGTCAATGTTGCAGCGCACATACAGGACAATAGTAAGAGACATGTTTGACGTGTGTCATTGTCCTCCAAATTAATGGAAATAAAATAAATACAAACTTGTGATTGCTTTATCTTGTAAAAAGTGTTCACTGCATATTAGGGAGTACTTGGATGGGTCCCAGTCCTTTTGGTTGATTGCCGCTGGCCATCGTCGTCTTCTGTCTTCATGACGAGCAGGTATCAGATAAAAAAGCTTATGTCCTTGCCTGTTAGTATAATCAACCGCACTGCAAAATGTCACAGTTTTGGCTGTAATGCGCTGAAACAGGTTGTTTTGGTCAGGTGTCCGTAGGCTCCAGTTAGACTTCTGCCGTCTGTCATGGAGAGTGGGCGTGGCCGGGACGTCACATGCAAGGGGTCAATAGCACTGTTCATACACAAAGCAACCAGAGGCGTTAAGATTCATAAATAATCACAAAACATTAAATAGAGTGAAGATGCAATTCTTCAGTTGTATGCACAGCTAAACAGAACTGTTTTCAACCTGGATTTGAACATTACATAATCAAATTGACTTCCTTGTTGTTTAAAGAAAATAAAAATAAACCAAGTAACACTATTATATGTACATTTTCCCTATTAAAACTTGATACTGGGGGAAAAGAGGTGTTATAAATCATTAGAAAGGAATTTCAATCTCTAGACACCACTACTTATTGTACCATCTTTCTTCCTCCTGTCTATTTTTAAGGTGTTTTTTTTTTAATTCAGCACAGTGGATATGAATGAAATGAACGCTCTTGCTAAGTGAATTGGCTTCACAAGATCTTTTATACAATAAAGAAAACATCCTGAAACAATTGCTTTACTAATACCCATAAGTTATTCAAGATTTGTGCCAATTGAGCAATAAGCATTTGGAGCGGCACAGAAGTGAATCAGCCACTGCCAGAGCTTTTATCGTCCTTTTGTGGATTGGTCAATTGTCCAAAAGTTTTATCTCTGACTAAAACTAGAGCCAGAACTGTCTCCCTAAGAAGTTTTCGGACCACTTCAATTAAAATCTGCTGAGAGTCCCTTGTACCATTCCTGCCTGATCATGCAAAAAATTCTGTTTTACTACTTTTCTTGGTTTTAACGACATAACCCGCGGGCATTTTTAAAAGTTTAATGCGTCTCCGTGCTGTGAGTGGCTCTCCTTTTTGCTTGATCCAGTAAAAAACTTCTGACAGTTGAATATATAAAGTCGCTTAAACGCAATAAAATCCGTCAGCGCGGGACATTGATCTCTTTTTAAACACTACTCTATTCAAATAAAAGCGCTTCTGTCTTTTACACCTCCTCAATACAGTAAGGTTATTTTTTCCCAGCTCATCAGCGGCTTTTCAGTTGACCATAAGTTGTCGCGTGTGCCAATCCATCCACCCATCGATCGCGAGCTTGTGGGTGTGGAGCAGGGACAAGTCATAAAACACTTTTACAAGAAAACCGGCCCATCACCACCGCGGCTGCTCTATGCCTTCGCTCTTAAAGTTGATTTGCTGTGCGTTTAAAGCTGGAGTCTCATTTTCAATTATAGACAAGAAACTGAGTAATTGAAAACCTCAAAAAGTGTATAAGAAAGGATTAAGAGGAATAGGACGACGTGGATTATTTGACATTGCGTATTTGTGGGAAAAGACTACACAGAGCAGTACTGAAATATGAATTGTAATTTATAGTCAGGGTAACAGAAATACATTGCAGCATTTTATTTTATTGTTTGATATATGTCAATGTATAAAGTATATGAATCTCATCATGATCAGTAAATATCAACATTTTCATAAAGCTGGGTTACCTAACTTTAAAGCATAAAAAATGCTATAGTCAAACTGGTTTCTTTAGATCAGTTTGGTAAAATAATAATGCATCGATTTTATGTAGCTCTTTGTTGGACACTCAAAGACGCTTCACATGTCATTATTCATTCACTCCATACACGGTGGTGATAAACTACTTCAGTTGCTACAGCTGCCCTGGGGCACACTGACAGAAGCGAGGCAACCATTATGTGCCATCAGCTCCTCCAACCAATTACACAAACACACACACACACACACACACACACACCAGATTCATTCTAGGCAATGTCGGCGAAGTCTTGCCTAAGGACATTTTGGGAATCTATAGCCTTCCCAGAGGTCTCCCATCCCAGTACTAACCAGGCCATGCCCTGCTTTGCTTCAAAGGTCTGACGCAATCTGGCTTTCACTTGCAGGTTCTAGTTTCCACACATCAGCTCTCAGCCCAAAGTGTCAAACAGTGAGTCACAGGGCTCTATAAGTATCCAGTATAGAGACTTTTTAGAAAACTGATGTTCGTGGTATTTTACTTTTACGAGACTCATCGTTAGCACACATCAAACAGTTGTGAAAAGGGAGATTACACTGTCAGCTAATGTAAATCAAGAGAAATCATTTTAATCTTCAATCTTCTTTTGGCCTCACAGTGAATTATTTATTGCTGCACTGGTTAGCACTGTTGCTTCTCTACAAGCAGGTCCTGGGTTTCATTTCACCTCCGGACAGAGCCTTTCTGAGTGGAGTTTGCATGTTCTCCTCGTGTCTGGTTCTTCCAGGTGCTCCCTTACCACTGACAACATGTACAACAGCGCACCTCTCTATGGGGCCAGGACTGCCCTGAAACTGAGATTCTGAGACTTTCCTGTTTAAATAAAATCCAATAAACAGAGAAATATTGCTCCAGAGAATTGTTGCTACAGAGAAATATTGCGATAAGTCTATACCTAATAATAATGTTGTCCATCAAGGCTGCCTTCTGGTGTAAAGTCCTCCATCTTGCAGACGAGGACAGCTTGAATCGACAACTCGAAAGCAGAGAAGAGTGAAAATAGAAACGGCATGACATATTAATCCGATGAGTTTGGACGAGATATGAAGATTAGACATCCACTTGATTTCCTTTTGTCCGTATAAGCCGCAGCTCTATCACTCCAAATGGCTCTCTATTAGATTTGGGTGCCCATCTGGGGTAAGGCTGGCAGAGGCGTGTTGTGACTGCCGCGCACCGACCAGACTCAAAGACAGGGATGAGGTCATGTCTTTGGATCACACAAAGACGCCTTATTATCAGGCTCTAATCCTATCACACAAAGACAAAGCTCCATCCCTGACATCTACTGCATCATGTCTTTGGTGCCTGGGCCGCCTGTGCCATCCCTAAACCAATAACCTCCAATAAGTCCAGCGGGGTCAAGGGAAGTGCACTTTTGTAACAGTAGCTAGCAGCAGCCGCAAGGTTTTGAACATGTGGAAATGAAGGGTTTGTTCTGATAATGATGATTTAGCAGTTTTATGAGTCAAATTGTTTCGTATCTAGTACAAGGGCGTTATTTACTGTAAGAGAGGAACAGTTAGAAGCGAAAAAAGTTTGCCATTGCATTAAAAGCTGGGGTATCTGGCTTTTTTGTTTTCTGAATAATGTTTTGTTTGACCCAACTGAAAGAGTTTTGTGAAAGTAACACTTTGTCAACCAAACTGACCACAACATGCGGTTTACATATTATTGCAACGCAGTTATCAATAATTCACTTCAATCCAATCTATTTTTGGAAAGCCCTGAATAAACAATATAGCTGATCTCAAGATGTGGATAGAACCAAATTGTTTTGAGACCGAGCAACTACTGTAGTTGGTTGGATTCATCACATTGACTTTGTTTATGTTGTTTGAAAATTAGGTACCGCAGCTTTAAACATGAAAACATTACATCATCATTTAACAAAACGAAAAGTAGAGAATTTGGAAGTAATTAGATAGATAGACAGATAGATACTTTATTGATCCCTGTATAGGAGAAATTCAGGTGTCCAGTAGCAGCAAAAATTTAAACAAATTAAGAAATTGATCATTCCAAAAAGTTAGAATGGTAATAATCAGCAACAGCCCTTCAGTCGCAGCAGAAGAGGTCGAGTAGCCTCTGGGTGGAGCAGGACGGGTCACAGTAGCAGAGGTGGTGTAGGGACGGACAACAAGTGGAGGAAAGAGACAAAGCTCAAATTATTAAAATAACCCCAGGTTAATTCACAGGTTAAAGTAATCAAAAAGTACACACCATGACAACTACTTTGCAACCAAATGTCTAAGGCAAGAATCCTCCTCCTCAATCAGGCATTTACAATTGATTATTTTAGTTTTATGGAATAGACAATTGCGTAAAGGAGAGAGAAGAATTTGACACTATGACATGACAGTGGTTAGACCGACAGATACACGGCGGTACAAAGCCACAGTTCTCACAGAAAGTAGCATGATCAGGGTGTGTGCATTGGGCACCAGGCTGACACAGACGGAGCGCGAGCAGCTCCAAACCAGAACAACCACAAAAGTCAACACATGGTTCCTGTTCACTGATACTGCAGTGTGTCTCTGACTGTTGGACTGATAAAGATCTGCCTGTGGTTAAATGTACTTTACACTGGAAACAAGGGAGAGGAGAGATGGGAGATCATAGTTCTGCAGCAACAGAGACACCCAGTGGCCATGTTGGGGAGGAGCTATGACTTCAGAGCAGTGGTATTTGTACACAATAAGTCATCATTCTTTTTCTGCTTATTGTTACTTGTATGTCTGTGTACACATTTTTGAAGAACATACAAATACATTTACACATTATTCAAACAAGCTATTTCTTTCTTATGCTTTTTTATTTTACCTGCAGTAAAATATCTGCCGTGGACTTGGGTGACAAGAACAACGAGGGAGACAAGAGTAAAGAAGGTGGGTTTAAAGCTAAAGGTACCTTTTTGATGCGATATAAACTCTCATATTTTGTTTTAGTCAAATGATCTATCTGCAACTAGTTTTGTTGTGTGATGGATTCTGCACATACAGTAATATAGTTTTTGCCCTATTTTGAAAGTCCTTAATGATGACACATACTGAATCTAATCGTCGGTAGTTGTGCGTAGTCTTATATTGTCTAATAAACACGATTTATTTTATCAATATATGAGCGGTTTGTGGAGAGGTTAAATGTGAAGTTCATGCAAGACAGCACAGGAATATACAGGAACTGGAAGATTTTGCCAAGAAGATTGGGCAGCTTTACCAGCAGAGAGGACAAAGAGCCTCATTCACAAAAGATGGTCGATGGCTGTCATAGATGCTAAATGGGAAATACACGCTATTGAGAATATGAAAACTAAAATTAATAACAAGGAGGGAAAAATATAATCTCACAAATGTGGCCCAAAATAAATATTGACTTTTCCATCTGGAAAGACTTGAGACAAAGATTGCATTAGAATATGTATTGTCAAGATGGCATGAATAGACAATTAAACCCAGCAGACTCATTGATTGGGTACTAATACATTTATTTGAACATGAATGTTTGTTAAACTTTGGGGATTAGACCCCGGCAGGAATACGACATGTCGTATGCAGGGGGAGTTTAATAGAAATTGTGAGCTTGTGAACCTCCCTGGGGCCTGGACCTTGGGGCCTGGACCCTGGTGGCGAAGACGGCTGGGTCAAAGACATGACATACTCTACTAAAGAGGCGGTGATGGGGAGGAGGTGGGTTGCTGCTCGACCAGCAGCTGAAGCTTCAGACAACTGAGGGGCTCTGCCTAAATGCAGCTATGATAAAATAAACTTATGGCGCACCTCCATGAATACAATCTGGTGTTTTATGAAGTCTCTGGAAGGTCTCAGACACAGAGACGCTGCAGAGCTGCATTCTTGGAGAAAAACTACAGAAAACGCTGCTAGCTTAACCCTGTTAGCATCAAAGCCTGCCTGCCACTTCTGCTTTGCGTTTTTCCCCACCGCAAGGCAGTACTTCAGGTTTTCTAAACTCAAATTACTGAAATGTAGTGAATGTGCGTCCAGTGCGCATGGACGCTGCGTTCAAACGTTGGCGGTGTGAACGTAGCTTTACTGCGCAGCTGAGGCTGATATTGATCGTGAGCGCAAGTGTGCAGAGGGGAAGGAGCCAGTATGGTAGGCATACTGGCTCCTCGCTTTTGGTCTCCCAGTCTGAATTTACGCTTAAGCTTAATCTCTGTCTGGGGGTGTTAACTTACAACTATAAGTTATAGGGACAAGGGTTTGAGATGGGTGTAAGCAAACAATGTCAATGTTCTTTGTCTGTGGCAATGTATGTAACTTTTATTTTGTACCCAAACAAATGAAAGGAAACCCCCACATCAAAAAAAAAAAAGAAAAAGGAAATGATTCATCTCAAAGGGAAAACCATAATAAATAGATGAATAGTATAAATAAAACCTGTCAAACCAGAAAAGGCTCCATTTCCCGCTCTGTGCTGATTCTGATTTATTTTATTTGCCATTTGTAGTAAAACCACATTGGAATACATTTGGAAAAGTCCCCATGCGCACCAGAAAAGTACTTTAAACAAGGTTAAAAGAACAGGATTAAAACAAACTTTGAAAACTACAGGAAACTATTGACACTGTGAAATCGATCAACTAAAACAGTTTCAATACAAGTGCAAGATCATTAATTTTTAAACTGATAACAGCTTGGGGAAGAAGATGATGGTGAAATACAGCAACTCCTGTGACTAAAAGCGTCAACAAAGTATGATTAAAGTTCCTCTTCTGTTGGTTTGAGCGACCACAGTTTCTTTCTGAGAACACGCATAAAGTCCATGACACATTTACACAACGTTAAACTTGTCCATTTGGAGATAGATCTGAGGAAGTTGAAAACTTTGACCTTGAGAGTGGCATCAAACTTCCTGCCGTTTTATTTTGAGGTGTTGAACTTGTGAACTTGGACATGCTTACTGCTTTCTGCTTATTGCTGCTGCTGCTGCTGCTGTGGTGTTTGAGTGGGCGGTAATTGGCTAAATGTGAATATGTCTTTTCAGATGTGAAGAACAATGACAGCAGACTGTGCTCTGAGCAGGATTCACAGTCACTGGTCTGGAATAATAGGATTGCTCCTCTTCTGGAACAGCTAGAGGGCATAGTCGCAGGTAGAGTGCTTAAATGTAAAAACGCACATGAATCAGTGAGCAGGCGTCGTATCAGCCTTTACTGGTGATGATCCAGGACTGTCGACATTCAACAACATGTATGGACATTTATCAACATTTATGGACATTGGACATTGACATTTTTCATGATAGGATTTCTTGAGTTTGAGCGGTTTTATTCTCTGATCTGTCTTGGCAAATTCAACGGTTTTGTGAAGTCTTCAGAGATAACTACTGTTGTGATTTAGGGCTATACTAGAATTAAATTAATTAAATTGAATACTACAATAATTTACTAGAAAACGCACATAAAACTAACGTTAGAAAGGGTCTACTTTCAAAATTCTATCTTTCAAGCACAAACCATCCAAATATTCCAATTAAACTGCTCAACAAACAATGACCAAAATACATTAAAACTATCCTCAACTGATTTGCAGCATTAGCCACAACTTGTAAACGGACTTAAACATTTAAACCGGATAACGTTAATAATTCACATGTGCTGAATCTTCTGCGAGTGACCTATCAAGCGCTTTCCTAGAAGTACATGCTATTTCTCCCACAGACGAAAAGCCATTCAAACGTGTCTACATAAAACTGTCTGAGAGAAATTGTAGTCTGGCAGCCATGAAATGAAATCTGCGTCTGTAAATATTTTAACATTCTACAACTTTAATGGAAAATTCATTTGAAAGATAAATATTAAATATTTATCATACCAAGTAGCTTCTGGCTCATGCATAAAACACTTTTAGATTAGTGGGAAATTGCACGTCTGTGTTTATTGCCAGACTCTAGCCGGACCTTTTTTAGCAATGGGCCAGAGACTGTTATTTATACAGGGAAAACATTTATTTCAGCTCAAAAACAAGGAAAGACTCCACCCTTCGTTCTTCCTTTACGTACGCTTAGAAGCTTCCAGGACTAGCCCTCTCCTCTCCGATGTCGTCTGTTGAAGAAATGTTTGAAAACAAAAATGCATTTATGTACAAAGATAAACTACAGAACACATAAACAGGAAAATACATAATCAGCATAACACAGGGGACCATCTCCTTGTGCCTGAATCAATCAAGGCCACCTGAAACAGATTCTCACATGGGACCCTTTTACTATGAGGTCATCTGTATTCAATATGGATTTAAAGGGGCATTTCAGAATGGTGCTTTTACTTTTGATCATGGTTGTGTGAATAGTGCTCCAGGATCAGTTGTTTTGTAGGTTTTTTGGTGTGGTTGTCTGTCAGCATTGAAAAACCTTCCAAAACATAGATCCCATAGCAGGAGTTCTCAACGTTTTTATTGAGAGTGCTACTTGAGCTCAATAGAGTTGTCTAGGGCAGTGTTCCCCAACCTTTTTGAGCTGTGGCACAGCTTTTACATTGAAAACAACCTGCTGCAACAATGAAACTCCAGCTTTTATTAACAAATCAGTCATTCTCATCCAAGGGGGCCCCGCTCCTCTCGCCCCTCCCCCCACATGTGTCAGTGACAGAGGTGAGCGGAGCGTGCAGGCAGCGTGCTATTTCTCCCAAAGCAAAACAAAGTTGTCCGACCAAATGAAGAGAAGTTATCCTTCTGGAAGCGATAAACGAAAGCGCAAAAAAGAGGAAGACGAGAAAAGAAAGCATGATAGCGGTGAGTGACTGTCAGTTCATCTAGTCTACATGACGCTCTTGGAACTAACTTGTTTGTTTGCGGATCACATCACAGAAACATTTAGCATGCTATTGTTAGCGTTTTGAAGGATTAATACACTTTGATAGCAGGTAGTGTTTGTAATTAATTATAACATGATGAGTGTAGTGAACAAGTTTATAAAAAGACATGCTAATTTATTTCTCATTGCTTTTCGTCACCAAATACTTTTTAAAATACTAATTTTCTATGGTAGACTGTGCAGTATGCCAGGCAGGCCCCAGGCTTGTACATTTATTGTTAGAAATAAGAAATTTTCTACATTTTAATGTTAATGTAAACAATTAATAGATTAAGGTTAATGCCATGTTTGATTTCTCTTTATCTTTAAGCTCAGTCTGCCGCTACACACACTACTACAGCCCCAAGTACTGCCACGCCAAGGTTCACTGCCCCCTCAAGCTCTACAGCCCTGGACAGCAGCGCTTCCTCCAGTGAGCAGCAGTCAGCTATATCCCATACTGCAATTGTCAACATTTCGTCGCCTACCTCCATTGACCAAGAGGACCAAACAGAACCACAAGCACCCACTCCAGGTATGATATTAGTGCAATAATATATTTAGTTTAAAAAAATGCTTGAATTTTACACACTATGGCCTTTTGTAGTATCTACCATATCTATAATTTCAAACAAATATAAGAGGTATACTTGAAAATAAATCAACATCTAAGTTGGTTTGTATTTTGAAGATGTGTAAATTAAAAATACATAAATAGTAATGTTAATATGGACATATTTACAAGCCATCTTTAGCAACAATTGTAATTGTAAAGGCTGTAAAAAGAGACTAAACATGTTTGTTAAACAGTGTTTGTTCAAGTAATGATATCACATCAGGATTATTTATGGTTATTGTGTTTTTCTTTTGAGAATTCATGTGTTTTTTAATTGGTTTCAGCTCAAACGGCATCCACAGACCAAGAAAAAGCAACACCAATAAGATTGACATCTTCTGATCCTGGACAGTGGCCTGATGTTCTTAATGATGGTGAAAAGAGTTCCCTGGTGAAAAAAGGTCCTCTTCAGGTGACGGATATTGTTTTTCCTCAAAGCAATGAACAAAATCCTTGGAGATTCACAAAGGAAAATTATTACATGGTCATGAGAAATGGTGAAAAAATAAAGCGAACATGGCTAGTATATTCAAAATCGACCGATTCAGTGTTTTGCTTTGCTTGCAAAATATTTGGCAAAAAGGACAATAATGCTCTAATTAAAGGAGGGTTTAAAAACTGGAAAAACCTTGTTGCACATTTAAAAGAGCATGAATATTCCAAACCCCATATAAATAACATGAAAAGTTGGCATGAGCTCCAGATAAGGTTAAAAACAAAATCTGCTCTAGATCAAATAAACCAGGATCTATTGCACCTTGAGGAGCAGCACTGGAAAGCAGTAATCCACAAGATTATTGCTATAATATGCAAGTTCTACAAAGAAGTATTGTCACAGAGTTGAGAACCTATAAGCAAAGCTTATAGGTTCTCAACCTATAAGCTTTATTGTTTAGTTGTTAATTATGTTTTCATAATTTTGTTGTTCTGCTGATCTTTGTTGTTGTTAGTATTTTGGCAATTCTGTTTCAACTTTATGATGCAAAATAAATAATATATTTATATCTACTGCAGTATTAACCTTTTTATGTAGTTATATGGTCGGTATCGGGGCCCCCAAGGACTCTTTTGCCTGGGGCCCCGGGGTACCCTTGGAACGCCACTGATCCAAGGTATATTATATAGAAAATGTCTTTCAAATCTGCTCACATCATTACCTTTTCACGTTATTTTGACCAATCAGGTGATATTGGATCATTTCCAAAGGCACACCAAACAACTTCTCAAGGCACACTAACGTACCATGGCACACTGGTAGAAACAAAGACACTGGTCTAGGGGCCGACAACATGGATTGTAAAACTGTTTTGACAGGATTCAGGCTGAACATGAGGTATGACAAATCCATATTTTGAGTTGGAGTCGGCCGAGAGACAAATGTTTACCATCTCACCAGCTGCATTAGTGCTACATCATTTTGTGACTCAAAAATAAATGACAGTAGAAATAATCAATTGTGAATTCTTGAGGTTCTGAGCTTTATGAAACGTGTGTTTATGATCTCAAAGACTACTTTAGATTAGATTGGCCCGCGAGCCTTAGTTTAGACATGCCTGTTCTATAGCCTCCCAAAGACCACAGTGAAAGTAAAGGACCCCATTCAGACCAGTCATACAGCCGCTGGGTCAAATACGTAAAAATATACACTTTTCTTTTTTCCACATAAAAAGTTACGTAATACCCTTTTAGATTTTTTTACTTGATATTTATTCTTCATTTTGTCGTCCTAAATACAGCCTGATTCGCAGAAACCAGTACATGTTGTTGTACTTCTGGTCAATTATTTTCGGGAACACATAGCCCCAAGTTTTCCTGTGCAAATAATAAATCTTGCTTCAGATGATCCTATTTCACAATATCTGGGGTTTACTTCGCCCCAAACTCGCCAACACTCACAAAGAGATGTTTTTCTTTTGGGATGTAGTGTTTGCTTTGGTTTCTGGTTGCACACGTCTTTGCTGTCCAGAATTTGACATTATTTTTTTCTGCCTGGAGGTGCACAGAGCGGCGAAGCGGTGGAGAACGACCCGTGTGACCTGTGCGACCGCCTTTACGACGCCATGGCAACAGCAGACATTTTGGGGCGGCGCTGTAAAGGCCGCGCCAGGATACTACGCACACTTTTCCGCCTCATTGACCTGAACTCGGCCCGGTTACACCTGCACATCGCTAAGATCTGCCTCCAAGTGAGTCTGGAGTGGCTCGCAATTTGTAGGCTGAGAATAGATTTTTGTTCCCCTCCTCTGCTCTGTCCTGGTGCATTCATTCAAATCTGCTCTGAACCTTCTGATTTTGTGATTGTTTAGGCTTTGTTTTATTTCAGTTTTTATGTTTTTATGTGGTGATTTTGCCATATATTGAAACTACTTAAAGCTGGAGTACATAACATGGAAATCACAAAGTAGGTTTTTAGTACATGTTTTTGAAGCCAGATCCCGTCAGACCTCTGAAGCTAAGCAGGGCAGGGCTTGGGTGGTGCTGTGATGGGAAGATTTTAAGAGCTCTGTAAGTCAGTATATAGCAACAAGTATTTCTGAATCTGTAATAGAAGCCAACAATGATACATGTTGAAAGATGTTTGAAGTGAAATCCTTATTTTTTCACTTGGAAAATGTGCTACTCCCACTTTTAAGGTTCAGTTTTGAAGCAAATAAACAGGGGTATTAAATATGAATTAGCAATAAAACCCATTAGACCAGCTTAAATGTGAATGTATTAAAAGGATTACAATGGAGCTGTACATACAACAAGGATTGAGCCCTAAAATTTTTCCCTTGTTCAACTATTGAATAAGTTGATGTATTAATCATCTTATATGACTTATATGCATGACATATAAGTCTCATATATTGTTGCAGTTGTATATATTAAGTTATTTAAAAGACAAGATGAGCCTTCCTAAAGTGTATTTACTTACACTGCAAAAAATGATATAATATAAGGTAATAATTTTTTGAATTGAGTGGTTTTTATAATGGATTTCATCACTGTACTGTCTTCAAAAAATGGGATAAGCTTTTTTTTCTTGTTTCAAGAACTGTTGCTTTATTTTCTCATTCCAAGGGAGACATCTCTTGATCATTTTTAACTTGCCTCATTGGCGAATCTCGTTTTAAGGCAGTCAAAATATGCTCTATTAAAGGTACAATTTGCCAAATTTGATCAATTTTAAAGTTATTTTTCATCAAGTGAAAAGAGTGCTCTTTTGAGTATGTAAATCCCTATGAGATTTATAAGGATGAGATCTGTTTAATGCCGTACAGGCCCCTGGGAGGCAGAGCAATAATGACTTCAAATGAATGCAACATGTCCTCATCATGCTTGTTGAGAGTTTAGTGTTACCCTCTTTGTCCAAAGAACGTCAAAAATATGAAGAAAAAACTAACTTTTGTGCAATAACATTTGTTCTGTGCAGCTGTGCGTCAGTGGAAACAACCTCCTGAACATCTGTAAAGTGGTGTTTAAACTCAGCCGCAGTGAAAGCAACGATGACCTCTTCCACCACAGCCCCGTCTTAGGTAAACACACTCTGGGTCACGGTGACCTGCTCCACGCATTGTATTTTAGTGTTTAAATTTACCTATCACCTTGTTTTGGTTATTCTGGAGGAGCAAAGCCTTGGTGCCCAGAGCGTTTACTCCTATCAAACGCTATCTTTGAGACTTATCATATATATGGCCATAACATTTGTTTGTTATGTGTAAAAACTTTTGCCCTCTGTTCTTTGTATCTTTCTACTTTTGGGGTTTTAGCAGTATGAATATTAGGGGTCAATATATGGTTATTGACTGACCGATCCACTCGCCCGACCTTTACAGCTGTTGTCGTGAAGTAGCAGTTGTTTACGCAATGATTTAAAGCTCAGTTACGGTAAAGATTCAGAGTAGGCTTAATGTTGTTACTAGTTCAAACATTTCATAAGTGTGGCAGTATTTCTCACACGTTGATTGGGCGAGGTGGGAGCAGCAGAGCTACATTCAACACAACAAATATGATTTGGCATTTACAGACTAAACATGACACAGAATATACGGCGTTGTGTAAATCTATCGAAGGGAATGTTCCGCTAAAAGTTTTGCTACAGATATTTGGAGTTCAGACATGCATACACTGTAAATATTAATGGACATAGTTATGCCTATCTCCGCTGTTGAAACTAATAAGCATCAGCATTGCCTTCTGTTGGGCCTTTCAAAATGGCCGCGGGGCTGGAAAATGTTAAAAAACGCACTTGCGCTTGCGTTTGATCCCAGACCCTTGAGAGTGAACTACAAGGGTCTGGCGAGAGCCAGGCTAGACTTTTAGACCATGCTGTAAAGACTTTTTTTGAGCGGAAAGAAGACACCATACAAAAGCAGTGGGTAATTCTCTTTCCGGGTACACCCCCACCGGCCTGGAGTGAGATTACAAGCATGTCAGCGTGGACCCGCCCCCACTGGTCCCATGTCTTTACTCAGCTTCACTTCACACTGGTGTGATCCTTTTGATTTATTCATATGGCAGACCACGTTTAGCACTGTTAAGCTATATGTGAATATTTGATAGCTTTGTTGTAGCTTTGTTACTGTACCAACCAAGAGAGTGTTTTATATCTCTCCCTGAAAGAATAAACTGGGGCTGAATAACTTCTACTGTATTTTTCATTACAGCATTTGCTATAGTAGCCATACGTAATGTAATCAGGCTTGTAAAATATTGAGTGCAAAAAAATTTGTTCAATAATTTACACTACCAGTGTAATCCAAAAGCATTGGATTGGGACTCAAGATCGGGTCCGATTTGAAATTTAATAATTGGATCAGGGTGGGGGGAAATTCTGATAAAAAATAGTGAGTCGGGGCATTCCTAACAATTATTGTTATTATGATTGTGATAATGAACAAGAGTAAAACCCCATTCTCTATCTGTGACCAGACTCATGATCACGCTTATTTGGACTGACTTAAATTATGAGAGAAAATGCTCTGGAAATGAGACTAAAGTTGCTTGCTTCTTTGTCAAATCTAATTTTTTCAGACAAGACATACTCCCTCAAGATAAATGCTGCCCAATTATGAACTTATAATGTTGCATTGATGACACTTTGATTTGCTTCTAAAATTGAATAATTGGCGCATTATTCATTTTTACTTATAAAACTTCCCATTGACCTTTATTTGACCAGGAAAGTCCCACTTGTCTCACTGATCTCACTGATTTTAGAATATATTGTTCATGGGAAACCTGGCTTCTGGGTTAGAAAGGGCGTTGCAGGAGACTATTGTACATGTTTTTTTTAGACATGACTCCACACAGAAAAGCCCTGTCTGGAGCTGGACTCGAACCCTGCACCTTCTTGCTGTGATCAAGCACTAACCACTGCGCCATGATGTCGCCACGGTTATTCATTTAACATGTGTTTTCATAGACTCTCTGCTGGACATTCTGAGCACTGAGGACGTGTCTTCGAGTGGACAGGTGCTTCTGTACTGTGTGGGGGCGCTCAAGTTTCTCTCTGGGAACAGCTCCATCCTCAAACAACTGCTGGATAAAAACTTTATGGGAGCAGCTCATAAACTCATCCAAAGACTCCAGACTCCAGGAGAGTCCAATATGAGCATAGCAGGCCATATCCTCGTACAGGTAAAGACGAACAGGATTTATTTGGAATCGTCTCACAATGTACTTAAAGCTGGGTGGCCTAACTCTATTTTTACATATATATTACATGTTGTTTGTCCCAAAAGAAAGAGTCTTGCAAAAGTTAGGAACAAATTATACCGTAACATGCTGTCGTCATCTTTTGATGCTTTTAGCTAAGAGCTGATTGGCTGGGTGTGGGTGGTCCTCGCTTTTTCACTTTTCCATCTGAAAAAGCATTTAGGGTTTGAGGTACTTCAATCAATCTATCAATGAAATCTTTATTTGTAGAGCACATTTAGCCCTTACTCAACAATTTGGTAGATCACCCTTTGAGTCAAATATATCTACTTTAAGCTTGGACCTGAAATCTACCTCTTTGGGGGATCTCACTTGGTGTTAGGCACTTTTACCATCAAACTGCATCTCAACCATTTGGTAAAGGCCTATACTAAAAAAAAGGTAAAAAAGACAACAAAAAACGTAAAGACATATTATTTGTGTTTTTAGTGCTCCTACATCTGAAAAAAACGACATTGCTTTCTTTGAGGAGTGAATGGTAAAGGGTTAAAACAGCCTTGGCTTACCAAAGTGCTGTACAGAATAAATAAAATAGTTAGTAAGTCAGCTCTTGGTCGCTATAGAGCATATGAAATGACTGTACTTGTTTTAATAGAGTAATGTATGGTATTATAAATACTATGTTTTTGTATTTGAAACTCAGCTGACAGCGGCCCTGAGGAACTTTGCAGATCTGCCAGAGTCTCGTTCTCTCTTTGTGTCGTTTGGTCTTTTGTCGGAGCTTTGCCTGGTGCTACGGCAACACGGCCAAGACCTGGACATCTGCACCAACATCTCTCGCATATTCAGGTGAGAAGAGCTGCTCTCACGTTTGGTAACTTATCTTAAACTTTAGTTCAGTTGAATAGATATGATGATGCATTTCATTATTCCCTGATATCATGTATCTTTGTAATCTGGTAGATATTGATGACATCACACTATCTTCAAAATAACTTCAAAATATATTATTTGGCCTCAAGTGGGATTACATCTAGATTTTCATGACTTTGAGGGGGTTTTCTCTCCCAGTGTCAACCTTAAAAAAAATTATTTCATAAATCATACACTTGTCCCAGCAGAAATAATTGTGTAAAACTGACATCAACAAAACATATCACAATAAGCCTCCTTCATCCTTTTAGAAAACACATTATCTTTTGGAGACTTGGAGCCTGTGAGTCACTATATGACACTTTGGGCAGAGAGTTCAATCTAAAGATGTAAATGAGAACAAATAGTGTTGGAAAACCAAACCATTTTAAGAGCTACAGAAACTAGTTAGATGGATTTGGACTTTTTTTTGAAAGTTATGAACCCCAGTCTTAAGATGTGACACTTAGTGGCAACCTTTTAGAGAACTTTTGTCAATTCCTGCTCTGCTCTAATTCAATTTCAACATATTTTTCCCTTTTTTTCACAAACTGGGACTTTATTGGCGTAAAAATGTCATAAATGTTGTTATTGCACTAAAGTAAGGTACTGTAAGGTCACACTGCTCCCTCACTTTCTCCACAGTCCACAAAAAATATGTTATATACTGCAAAATATGTTTTGAATGCCAGTTTTTTCTGCTCTTGTTTGTTACATACTTCTGTAGCTTATATCAATATCAACATCAGATCTGACCATCTCTCCTAAACAGCCAGTAGTATGAGGTCTTAACTCTGTCGTTTCTCTCTGTTAGTAAACTCTCCTCTTACTCTGAGTGCCGCCTCGCCCTGTCCCAGACCCCCGGATGTTACCAACTATTTTTAGAAGTGCTGAGCCAACACCATCAGAAGCAGGTGAGTTTATTAGGCCCTCCGGCTCCGTCAACTCCACATCAAGCTGGTTATATATGATGCAAGAGCCTTTAACATGTTTTCCCCTCTGAGTGTATGTTTACCACACATTCTCTCTGTACGTTATGTGCATACTTCCTCTTCTCTTACGTGTTTTGACTCGCAATCACGCTCTGGGACATAATGAAGCAATTAGGGATGGAATTAAAGGGGAGAAAACAGGGGAGGATAAGTCAACAGAAGGTGAAGCTGGGGTGAGGACACATTACTAACATGTGTGGCTGAATAACACACAGATCCTTAAAGGCGCAGTACAGTTGGCCGGCCGTGGCATGTGTGGCTCTGTCCCGGGTCAAACTGTTCTCTCTTGGTGAAGTGTGATCACCTGCTCCACACCTCGTCTCTGTCAGCGAATCAGTGGCACACATGCTGCTCATTTGTGGATAGGTTTTGTGTGCGTGAGGGGAAAACATAGTTCTGGGTGGAGTCCAGTTAGTCTCAGCCAAATAGTGTTTGAATTCTTTTTATCTATAACCTCCTAAGAAATATAGCGAAACAAAACATCAAAGATAAGAAAGCCACTGCCTGTGTTTGTAGAAAATTGGGGCCATTTGCGAAAATATTAATCTGGAATATATTTTCTTTTTCAAAATAGTCTTTTAAAGATAGCTTTATTCCCATATTGTATTGTTGTATTGGCTCCTGACTTCCAACTAAAATAGAATTCTAGAACATGATGCTACCTATTGAGAACCAACCTATTGCTCGTCTTGCCTCAGGACCTGGTCGTTCGCCTTCTCTTCACTCTGGGAAACATCACGGCCAAAAGTGAGATGGCGAGACTGCAGCTGTTTGAGTGTGAGGCCAGTGTGGACGTCCTTCTCCGCATCTACCACAGGTTCCAGACGGGAGAGGACCAAGGCACCAACCCCCAGACTGGGATCCAGACTGGGACCCAGACTGGGACCCAGACTGGGACCCAGACTGGGATTCAGACTGGGATCCAGACTGGGACCCAGACTGAGACCCAAACTGGGACCCAAACTGGGACCCAAACTGGGACCCAGACAGGGACCCAGCAACAGCGTGACGACGTCCTGGTCAAGTTGGTGCGAGTGTTGGCGAATATGTGCATCCATGACGCTGTGGGTCCTGCTCTTGCCAACAACGCAACTTTCATCCAACTGCTGATAGAAACTCTAGGTAAGAGGACGTAAGAGCAGAAACAATACAGGGTTCATTGTCATCGTGATTCAACATGGCTGCCAAGGCCAGACAACACCTGAATAAGCTTAACAGACTGGAAATAGCAACGAAAAGTATCCATCCATCCATCCATTTTCTTCCCCTTAATCCATTTCTGGGTCGGGGTGGTGGCAGTCAGAGCTGCACCCAGTACACAGTGCACCAGCCCCTCCTGCAGGTGGTGAGTCCACAGGAGCTGAGATCTTTCAGTTGGGGCTTTGGGCAAAGTGGGGTTAAGTGTCTTGCCCAAGGACACAACGACAGCAGTCATCAGTGGGAGTCGTGAAGTAGGTCTTGAGGTGGGCTCGAACCCACGATCTTCAGGCCCAAAGGCCAATGCTCTACCAACTGAGCTACTGTTGCCCCAAAAAAGAAAAGTGAAAATGTTTGTATTACAAGTCTAATCATATTGGCACCATAGATGTATATTAGGAGTGACACGAGTGACATAAGCTAGCTGGAGCCAATTTCATTATATTCCCACGGGGTTAGGTTTTGTAAGAAGGGCAGACATGCTGCTAACAAGGTTGCTAAGGCAAGTTGGAGTAATCCCCGCAAATCAAGGCGTCTTATTGGTAAATCCGTTTATGGTTCGTATCTGGTTTTACAAAGACACTATCTATATATACTCACCAGGATGATAGAGAGCGCTAAACCTCAGATTTTTAAGCCCAAAATGGCGAGTGTGACAAATATGGTCACTGAGTAAGAGAAGTTTACTCAATGTAAGTCAATAGGAGCTAGAGCGAGTTGGAGCAAAACTTTGACCATGAGCACTTCCCTACTGTGCGTCATTTGAGCTAAGATAAGAATTCCTTTATTCGTCCCACAGTGGGGAAATTGGCGGGTTAGCATTGTCCATCTATTACAGTCTATGTCGAGCACACATCTTGGATTGATGGAAATGAAACATATTTGTCCAACTCAGATTTTATGGGACTTTTTGGAACGCTATATTGTCCTGGAACTTGGCAGAACAAATAATATTACAATTATAGTTCATTGCAAAACGCTATTTTACCATTTAGAAAGTTCTCACGAAGCCTCTCCCTCTGCAGTTGGTTTATAATTTTCTATAAAGTCGTTTTACTGTTCTTATGTAATTAAAATGGCTGCTTATCTCCAGTGATTTCCCCTGTAGCTACAGCGTGTTGAACCTTCTTTACTGAACCACATCCGTGCTGCGGCTGGGAACTTTGATCAGAGTCTTTTCTTCTTCGTTTGTTTTTCTCGTTGTACTTTTCTGTTCCCCACGTGACGCGTCCGGCAGTTTACCCGCCTGTGCACAAGACGCCACAGCTGCAGGATGTGTGAGAGTCTGCCGTTCGGCCCAGAACATTTTGAACTGAAACTTGTGAAAGTTTTAGGTTTCAAGGCAAAAGGAAATCTATCTGAGGAGATAAATGAAATGTGGTAATTGAGTTGTATGAGTAGAATAACTGTAATTTCTCCACTGTGGGACTAGCAAAGGTATTTTTCATTCGTTCCATATATTTCAAACAGTAACTATAGCTACAGCATATAAGTCAATCTATTTTAAAGAACAAATATTATGCATTATTTTTATTAATAAGTATATTGAGACTGTTGACTTTTTCATGTTATATTTTAGAATGTGAAATAATATCTTAATTGCACAATATACGGTGAAGCATGGGGGTGTAGGAGAGGTAAAACCCTTTTGCCTGTAACTCCCCATGCTACCACCAGAGGGAGGAGTTGGATTGCCAAAACAAATTTATGGGCAATACTTTTTTTTTTTAAAGTGAGAAAACTGCTTTGAGTGTGATGTCATAGTGGTGCAGTGATATCATATTACTACAGAACTGAGACATGGGGCTTTTAGATATGATTTGTTCCCTTCATTTCGGGCTTTAACCAATCGCTCCTGTTTGTCGGAAGGAGGACAATGACGTTTTTCAAATCCACATTTTTGATGGTATAGTATGTATGGTGCTACAAATCGGCGCTGATTTGCTGATTGTACTTCCTGATTGTCTGAGCTATCTGTGTTACTGCGATGCCTGAATTAGTAGTCAGAGTGAACTGAAACTGAACAGAGGAATTCGGTCGGCCTCTAAAAGCAACACCAGGCTGTTTTTGATGAGGGAACAATGTTGTAACATGGTTTAAAGCAGTATTCCCCAACTTTATTGAGCCGTGGCACACCTTTTTCATTTAAAAATAATCACATGTTACTCTGCGGCCTTTATTAACAAAACAAAGTAATTATCATCAAAGTGTAAAGAAGTATTTCTGATCTTTTAATTCGTCTTATTTTTTTTCCCTTATTATTTTGACCAAGTATAGGTGATATTGGTTCATTTCCCAAGGCACACTAAGGTTCCACAGCACACTGGTTGAAAAACACTGGTTTGAATCATAAACTTAACACTATTCCAACTGTTAGATTTACTTATTGTCAAATATGGTCAGAATATTAAAAGTCTCTTCCTATTGGACTGTAGCTACTTAATACAGGGCTTTGACGATCAGAGACTTTGCTGATATTCTCACTGTATTTCAGATTCGTCACAATCGCTCACTTGATCTGATGCTATTTCAGGAGTAGACGGGGGTCACACTGACCTTTCAATGAGCTTTACCAGGAGCCAACTGTGTCACATACTTCACACAGGTCTATTTAAAAAGCCCTGTTGCACATCACTGTAGTTGCTCGGTTTGGCCACAAGGGGAAAAGAGCTGTGTCTGTCAGTGATTCTCAACTGGAAGTGTCAGCTCCCTCCATCAACAAACAACACACATAAATGAACTTTATGTAGTATAGAGTACTGTATATCTAATGCAACTTATTGTTTTTTGAGCATTGAATAATAATACAAAGCTAACACTTTTTATGTTTTATTTCTTTTAAATGGCGTTTTATTTCTTAAAATTTTTCTTAAAGTTTATTTTTAATTTTCTTTTTTATTTCTTTTTTCACTTTCAATTGACTTTTTTGCAGTGTAGTAGATAGATTCTGCTATGTACTGTATCTACTATACACAGCATTATGTAGGCCCAATCACTCACTGAATGATCAGGCCTAGTTATTGTGATGAGACCTCTGGCAACACCAAGGGCCGCCGTGGTGCGGCTGCGGCTGGAGGTGAAGTCTGCTTCACAATGATAGGAAGAGCCGACCTCGAAGGATTTGAGCCAATTAGGACATGCTCTCAAGCATGGCTTCTGCCTTTTCCTTTTTTCATTATATTATATCATATGTTTGAACAGTAACTTTGTTGATGTAATGACCAAAATAAAACAATTAATCAATCAATGTCAGTTCTTTTTTGGGTCACAGCTTGTATAAAAACAGATATTTGGTCCACTGCTGTAATTCCTCTTTGTTCTGTTGTTTTGCAGAGCTGAAGTTTGTCCACGAGAGCGAGGAGTTGATGGTGAACACCGCGGCAACAATCAACAACCTGTCCTTCTACCATCAGCCCAACTCAGCGCTCCGAAACTGCCACCTCACCATCGCCAAGAGTGAGAACAGATGCCAAAATACTTTTCTTCCCGCAGCAGAAGCAACATTCACCTCTGGGCCTGTCCCTGTGTGTTTCCAGTGATGATGAAGTTATTACAAAGCTCCAGTATGGACGCCGTACTGGAGTCCACTCGAGTCTTTGGGAATTTAACCCAGTCCAGAGAAGTCCAGGACTACATTATGCAAAGTAAAGGTGGGTTTCTGACCATATAAAGCTGGGGTACCTGACTTTTTTACTAGAACTAGCTTATAGTCTAGACATTTCGTAAGTTTGAACACAAAGAATCTTGTAAAAGTAAAATGTTGATGAACATATCAGACCACAGCATGCTCAGACTTTTTTTTTTGTGGTTGTAAGTTACAGGAAGTCACAAACTAGAAATGTTGGATTGTATTACATAGATCCATTATTTGGGGTTTGAAGGTTAGGTACCTGAGCTTTAAGGATTTACTAATGGTCTCATGTCATTAACTACAGTATGTGTCCTGTTTTTAAGAATCCAATAAACTCTCATAAGATAGTTACATTTTATTCTAAGTTTTTGGACTAGGCTGGAGTGAATCACGGAGGTGCAGTGGTTAGCAGTCCTGGGTGGAATTCCATCTTTTTTTAAATTTAATTACATTTACTTAATCCATTGTACCGGAGTTAGCCTTAGGCTAATTTACATCTGTTGTCCCCCAGCAGGAAGAACACTCCACATACAGGTGGGAACAAAGTAGCACAAACATACATACCATAAAATACACATGTGTATACAGTCAGCAGATATAGCAGATACAGGTCAAACACACACACACACACACATACACAGGTGGCGTCTGTACCCTTGGACCTATCGAGAGTGATCACATCGTTGCTCACTCTTAAAATGTTTTTTTCAGTTCTTTCCAGAGTAACACATGATTTAATAAAGTTAGGAAGAGCATTCCACTGTAGAGGCCTTCACAGAGAAGGAGAAGAGACCAAACGCAGAGCGGCAGAAGGGAATAGAACAATCGTGCACAGAGGCTTCTCGTGGATCTAATTGAGCTTAATGCTCTGTGTGGAGTTTGCATGTTCTCCCCGTGTCTGCTTAAGTTTCCTCCGGACCAGACCTACAGTATTGTAAAAACATGTAAAATAGGTCTGGCATGCGCCTCCTGTTCGGCGACCCCACTCCCATCTCTGTGTGGAGTGAGAGACAAATGCCAACAACAATTGTAAAGCGCTTTGTGACTCTGGTCTGTGAAAGGCGCTATATAAATAAAGATTACTTACTGTACTTACTCTCAAAAAGCTTTTGTATTTGAAATCTCTAGGAAAAAAAAGTGCTTCCTCATCTGCCCATAGGACGATAACTGCTGAGCGAGTGAAAGGCTGAATGTGCCACCTTTTTGTTGTGTCTGTTATCTGAAGGCCAGCTCCCGTCAGGATAAACACAGCTGCTGAGTCAGGACCATATTTTGCTCCTCCATAACTCATGTGTCTGGGCTTTTGCAGCGTACCAGTTTGTCGTGGCTCTGCTGGACTCCAAAAGCACGGAGGTGTGTTTCGCAGCGTGCGGAGTGCTCACAAACTTGGCCTCCGACGCCCAGAACAGAGAGAGTCTGGCTTCGGAAGATACCGCAGCCAAGTAAGAACACACAGAGGCTGCAGATTCAGAGGGGACGGTGATAACTGTAGAGTGTGAGCAAAAGTGAAAGAGAGCAAAGAGTGTGGAAGAAAAAGGAGAGTTCTATAAGAGGACTGCGAGCTGTGAGACTAAGGGGAGAGAGAGGCCAAAGGAGAGGCCAGAGAGATACCAGAGAGAAAGGTACCAGAGAAAGAAAATACGAGAGAGAGAAAGAGACCAGAGAGAGAGACAGCCCAGAGAGAGGTTCTTTATGAATTCAGACTCTTAAATGGAGCTGTTTGAAAAATCTGGCCCCTGGAAAAGCCATGTTACAGCTTCGTCCCTCTGCCAGAAGATATCAGTCACTAAGATGCAGGACATCTCGATATGCGAACAGCTTCTTTCCACAAGCTCAGTCTGAACAAGGCACTCTGATGACCTTGCACTTGTTGTTGAAGCTGTTTTTATGTCTTGTACTTTTTTTAGCTTGTTTTATGTTATGTACTTGTCTGGTGCACTTTGGGGGACTTTTGCACATGTATTGTGTGTATATGCAAATAAACGTAATCTGAGTCTGAAGAGTGGGAGCAGTGCTCAGGCCTCACAGAAAGTTTGTGAGTTGGTGCCAGTGCGGGTCTCTCTGTGTGTAGTCTGTGTGTTTCTCCCTGTGTCTGGGTGGATTTCCTCCAGTTCCTGCAGTTTTCCCCCCACCACCCAACAACATGCGCATGGGCCCGACTCCGCACACACGGCTCTGCTACGTCTTCACATAAAGTGGGTAGAGTCGAGAAAGGCCAGATCTATTCATATGTGAATGCAAAATGTCTGGGGGCTGCTCTCAAGAGCCAGGCCCATGTGGGAAAACGCCTTTTGGTCAAATCTTCCCACTCTGGTTCTGAGCAAGCCGAGCATCAGCATCTGGAGGTGGGTCAAATACAGAGGACAAATATTCATATGGGGGCAATAAAGTATCCCTTATCTTACTACATCTGCTGAAACAAGCTCAGTGTGTGTGTGTGTGTGTGTGTGTGTCCTCAGCATTTTATAGCATGAATAATGCCTTTAAACTAAACATCTGTGACCTATGACTTCATGATTCTCAACCAGGGGTATGTGGATCCCTAGGGGTACACAAGGGTATTACATGTCTGTTATTTTTAAGATAAGAGTTCCCTCAGTTGTGAAATGTTGACGTCATACCTGCACACATTACAGCAGAATAGAAGGAGAAATAAGAACACTCGGGTTATGCACACATCAAACAAGATCTATTATTTAAGATGAAAGATAATAAAATAATAAGATAATAAACTTGCATACACATTTACACAGTTATAAAAGGTGTGTGCCAGGTTGAGAATTGCAGACTTTCACATAAACAGAGAGCTTCGGTCCTTTCTTTTGACGACTATTGATTATTCTATGTTCCCACAGCAGCATTGTCAGTTTTCTTTGTTCTGACAAATAGATTTAACATGTTTCAGTTTTGGTTTTCAAAGGGTTAATAAAGAAGGCTGATGTTGTTACATAAGCCGTCTTAATGTCAATAGCCTGCCATGCCCTGTGTGAGCTGAGGGCCCAGTGAAGTAGAGCTAATGCCCTCAGACCTGCTCCTCATGTGATTCCGGTCATCTGACGTGTGTGTGTGTGTGTGTATGTGTGTGTGTTTGTGTGTGCATGTGTTTGTGTGTGTGTGTGTGTGTGTCCAGACTCATGGACTGCCTCCGAGACATGGGACAGGGCGACTGGCAGCTTGCGGGACAGCTCTGCCAGGCCTTATGGAACCTGGCAGGGGGCTGTCCCAAATCTTTCCTGGATTCTGAGCAGACGGTGACCCTCTTGGACATCCTGACCGCATACTTAGGTCGGTCCACACTGTTATTACACTTACATAACACACAAGATGAAATAGTCTCTCTTTCGTGGAAGTCAACCTCAGGGGGAAGATGAGACGTCCCATAACAACAACAAAAACAACAACAACCTGTCACAGACGATATGGGGGATTAAAGCTAAAGCTCCACATTGCAAAGACTGGAAAAATGTCTCTTTATTTAAGTTTATTTTGAAGATTTATTTTGAAGATTTGTCAACGAAGTAAAAAGTTAATTTGCAAAAAAAGAGCTCTTTTTATAACTTGCATGTCGCATGTTTCTATCAGGCCCCTGAGCCCTTCTCAGTTTATAAAGTATAAATACTTTAAAATGGTGCTGCGTCACACACCTCGCTCTGCAACAATATATAATACTTAAAAAACATATAAAAACTTAAGCCTGAGAAAAACATTGTAAACTAGGCCCGATCCCAACAGCAGCAGACTGATGTTCCAAAGTGGCCCATGCTCGAGCTGCAATCTTCAACATGTTTTGTTCTTGGCAGGAAATTTGAAAGGATTTGCTCAAAAAGGGGTGAAACTTTATTTTTATAGCACTAACATAAATCTGGCTTTTCATAAACATTTTGGTAAAGGGCAAATTGTAAAACTTTTAAATATTTTTGACAGTTTCTCGTCATTATTACAAATCTCATCTTTTTCATAAACTTTAAAACTCAGGTTGGACATTTATTTATAGAGGCTGTGCTGGTGAAAATGAACTTCATCTTACAAAGTGAAACTAATTTATATATCGAGGCTTCATTTGTATTAATGTGGATGATCTCAGATGGGAAAAAACAAATAAAACTAAGCCACAATCATTCAAATTATAAAAAACAAAGACATGTCACTTTCATGTAATACGTTTCATAAGTTTCACATTTAGAACCTATTAGAGAAATAAACCTTTTTTTTACAATAATCTGATTTGTACGGAAGCTTGTTAGGTTCACTTGTGAGTGTGTTTTTTTCCCGCTGGTATCATGTTATTTCATGATACTTTCATGAAATAACATGATAAACTATCATGTTATCATGACTATCATGTTATTTCATGATACACAACCATCATGTTATTTCATGATACACAACTATCATGTTATTTCATGATACACAACTATCATGTTATTTCATGATACCAATTTATCAGAAGAAGCTGACAGCTTCTTCTTCTTCTGTATCTACAGTATCATGTTATTTCATGATAAATTGGTATCATGAAATAACATGATAAACTGGTATCATGAAATAACATGATAGTTGTGTATCATGAAATAACATGATAGTTGTATATCATGAAATAACATGATAGTTGTGTATCATGAAATAACATGATAGTTGTGTATCATGAAATAACATGATAGTTGTGCATCATGAAATAACATGATAGTTGTGTATCATGAAATAACATGATAAATTGGAACCATGAAATAACATAATAGTTGTGTTTCATGAAATAACATGATATTTATCATGTTATTTCATGAAAGTATCATGAAATAACATGATACCAGCGGGAAAAAAACACACTCACAAGTGAACCTAACAAGCTTCCGTAGATTTGTACCTATATCAAATGCGCTATTATTTAAATAGCGCATTTTTTAGAACATTTTCTGAACTGTTTGAGGATTATGTATCGCTTCAACGTTGTAGACTTTTTAAACAGAAATATCTCAATGTGTTATTCTACACCAGCTGTTTAGATGATCTGTGTTTATTTTTCAGACAAAGATGAGGCCCTAAAATTGATCAAAAATGAAGATTTAAAAGACTACCACAAAGCATGCTGGGAGTTGGAGTTCTTTCCTGTGGCTCAAAAACTGATCCAAGTTCTTCACTAAGAATCACCACAATGTTGTATTTCAGGAACTTTTTTAAGTGAGTGAACTAATGTGTTTTGTTTGAAATTTTGGAAAATGTTTGTATTATTTATTACTTTTTAATGTTACAGATTTTTAACTTTGACAGGACTTTATCAGGGGTGTACAGGAAATATTTTTAACCATAATAATAACAAATAAACCATAGATTGTATATAAGGAGTGGATTAACCAAGGGCTGCTGTAACCATGAGAAACCAATTTGAACCTAAGCTGGAGCCAATTTCCTTATATGGGCATTTGTTCCGATGGCGTTAGCTTCTGGGGCAGACGTGTTGCTAAGATGGTTGCTAAGGCAAGCTGTAGTCCCCCCTGCAAATAACGGCATCTCATTGGTCAATCCTTTATATGGCTCATATCTGGATTTACTTTTCCTGAAAGACAATATTAAAATATAAACACCAGGATCACAGAGAGCGCTAAACCCATGGATCTATAATACCACACTTTTTTAAATCCCAAAATGGTGAGTGTGTGACACAAACGGTTACTAAGCTAGAGGAGTTTACTTTTTGATTGAAGCCAGATTAGCAAAACTTTGTATACTATTGGGCTTTATCTAGCTAGCGGGTTAGCATTGTCCGTCTATATACAGTCTATTAGACAAGACACATTCAATCCAAGTTCACTTTTTTTTGTGAAGCTATTAACTTTGTCCAGAATAAAGATCCAAAAACGGTGTGCTTCTCCGAGCCTTTATTGTTACACAGATATGGGGCCAGGCAGTGCGTTTACAAGGTACAACAAGTAGCCTAAAGTACAGCATTTCAAAATTCACATTGTTATTACATTGAAACAAATCAGAAACGGCACTTCATGTAAAAACCTCCCTCCGTTTTCACATCTTATAACCACAAAACATCTAGGTTTTTGAAAGTTTTGAAGCCAGGCCTAAAACAAACTTGTTCTCTATTTTTCATCAGGTTGATATGAGTGGACTGGCTGATATTGAAGTTGTCTTAATATATGTTTTGTTTTTTTCATGTAAAGGCAGTTGGTCAGTGCTGGTGATAACACTGAGATTTCTGCTGGTGAATAATTGTTATGAAAAATACCCTGAAATTCAATCTCCTACTTCCCCAAAGTGAAACAGCTATCCCCTGTCGTTGAACCATGAGCTGATGTGTCATGGCTTTGAGGTTATACAGTAAAATCACATAGAAAGTCTGCACCAAACTGAGTCCAGCGCACATGGGGCGAGCGTTCACCGTCTCAGAGCTCACTGTACTTTGGAAATGAGGTGATGTTTGTGAGTCACCATTTGCATAACAGTGTGAATGTGATGCGTGAAACAGGTCCCAACAGTGAGGAGTGCTATGAGCTTGTGTTCGGGCTGCTGGAACTACCAAAGCACAATACAATCTCTTTGATGAAGCAATAGAGAAAACTACAAATCATACACATGAATTCAATATGATTTATTTTTGAGTTTTCTTTTTTAAAGTTTTTTTTTATATATAAAAATGTCAGTAACTGACACCAAAAAACTATCCACCTTCTGTCAAAGCATAACCAATGTACCATTTCTGGGACCACTGGCTTATCACTCGTCTCAGTCCACCTCAGAAGAATGCAGTATTGGTTTAGTAAACAAAACATACAGCAGAGGAACATGCCTCTGGATCAAATAAAAACGCTCCTTTTGCATGGGTTAGACTTCCCTCTCAGGGAAATAAGCACAGCTACAACCTGTGGCCTGTGGCGGGGGGCCCCCCTCACGGGAGCACACCACCCATAGTCTCTGCTCGACAAGAGCACTTATATGTTTTTGAAAGAAAACATGAGAGGTATTCATTTACTGGTAAATTCACAATCTGAAGCTTTGAAAGAATCAGGGCCCAGGCCGTGGGGATAAGCGGAAGACAGATAGGTGTGACTTCGACACCGCAGATACCGGGAGCTAATCCTCGTCACAAAACCTGGTGATCTTTCTTTTGATTAGGCTTTTCCATTACCAGAATACAAACATCATTAACAAATCATATAGTCATATCACAATTACAGAGCTACAGCAGAAGCAAGAAGTTTTCCTTCAAAGAGCCTCGCTTTTTTGACACATGAAACTTGAAGACGTACTTTTCTCACATAGTGAAATGCACACATTCATCCATTCACACATTCACACAAACTCAGGGCTCAACAGTGTTCTTTGAGTTTCTCCTTAGATTAGCTTACATCGACGTTTGAGATTCAGATCAGGGATTGAGAAATAAGGGGTAATGCATTATCTTTAAATGGATAGGGGTTTGGGAGTGGGCTTTTGGGGTCAATATGACCCTGGTGATGGGAGCAGCAGCACCAACACATATGCACGCAGTGCTGGAGAGTTCAGGCACACAATAACACCATCCACAGTAATGCTTCTGTCCTAGTTACCGCTAACAGCAACCATATCCTCAACATCCTCTTCTCTTGATACAAAATGAAATATAAGAAACTAAACAACAAACAGTGACACAAAATCAAAGTGCAGACTGGTTGTGGCTGCACCGTGGGCCATTCTCAGTCAGAGACAGAGTGCGTTGGCAACCAGTGTGTTGCATGTTGAAATACTGAAATGTCTTTCTGGACTTTTATCAGCGCTGTGACCTGGTGCATTCTCCTCAGTGGAGGAGGCTACTCCAGACTGCTCTCTGCTGGTCAGGTTTGGCACTGCAGGCCACACAAACTAGGTCTGTGAGTCCTTTTTGAGATGAATCTTCTTTGTTCTTCAACAATCCAACACCAAAGAAGCATGGTCACGTCTCCTCTTGCTGGCCTCAGCCACAATATAGTTTCCAAAAATGAACAAAAACAATAACAGTAAAAAAAAGACAATGATAAAACGCCAAAGCACTTCATGTCATGTAGCGGGTGATCGCTCTCAGAGCGTATAACAGTTCAGCTTGCATTCGCGCTTCCATAAGAAGCAGATTAACATGGACCTGGAACACAAAATACAAAAACACATTAGTTTGATCGTCTGATATAAAACAAATGCAAAGAGGAATATGAGCCTTCACCTTCTCGGAGTGCTGGAACTGCCTCCAAAAACTTTCATACATTCGTTTGGTGGTCTTCTCCGGACTACACACCATGGTCTTTATGTAGATCTTAAAGCTACGGTCAAGAAGTTGGTTTATTTCTCCATAATCGTAGTCATCATATCTGAAACGGAGGCGCAGTGTAAGAACAGACTGCACAACGAACACAACCCTCCGAGACTGGCTGTGAAGCACCACTGACCTGATGCCGAACATGCAGTGGATGTAGTTCCAGATGGCTCGGCGCAGCATGCTGGTGTCTACGTCTTTGTGAGTTGCCATGGTGTTGTAGGTCAGGTTATAGGCAAGCTGAAACTTCTCATCCAGCATCTGACCCACGTCTGGATAGAGCCGGTTCACCAGAGAGTAGCCGTGGTCCTCCCAGCTGTAGTCCTAAACCACAAACACACAGTTAGCTAACCACTCAAGCTACTCATTCTCTTGCACACTTTTATCCTTTGTCATACCTGCACTCTGAAGGTGGGCACCTGATCCCCGCCCCTGGAGAAGTCCTTGTAACCATAACTGGGGTCTTCAAAGTGCCGTGAAATATCTCTGGACGGGACGCACTCCTCGTCTTCAGCCGTGACCACTAGCATGCTCTCGGTTTTCTCACGCTCGAACCGTGTCGCCATTTCCTCCTGAGTCGCCTCCTCATCGCACTCCTGCAGCTGCTTCATCCTCTCCATCAGAACTTCCACCTCCCCATCCAGATCCTACAACAAGCACAGAGACAGGTCAGTAAGAACAAAGCACTTTAAATCATCTTGTACTTATAATTGGTTTCACATTATTGTGTCTTGTGTCTTAATCTCAATGGGGCTTTCCTGGTTAAATAACTATACTGTTTGACTTGTTTTATTGATGTACTTCTCTGGTGCACACTGGGAAACCACATTAGGGAATCCAATTTGCCCTAATACTAAGACCTGTGATAATACAGTAGTAGTAGTAGTAGTAAAAGTAGTAATAGTAGTAAAGAGGTGGTTTCATAATGATTGAAATCTTCACTTACATGGTTGCCCAGATCATCGTGATTTATCGTGTGGCCGTTTCCATTAGCGATGTCGCAAACGCAGTACTGGCTGAGGGAGGGGGGCCTGAAGGTGTGTCCGCCATCGCAGTGGATCTCGGGGGTGATGCCGCAGCCGAACGCGAAAGAGGCCAAGGAGTGGTAGTGTGTGAGCAGGACTACTGCGTGGATGAGCTCTGCCAGGGACCAGCTGTGCACCTCCGCCTTCAGAAGGTGCTAGAACAGAGAGAGAGAGAAGAGAGCGTGTCATTCCTGCTTTGTTCTCCTATCGTCACTAAATAATGTACTTCTTTGTTGCGTAAGTCCACTGTGGCTGTGTCTGTATCCTGTACCTTGATGTGTTCCTTGGTGAGGAGCCAGGGTCGGTGGGCCAGGATCTTGTTGAGTTCTCCGAGCTGCTGCAGCTTCTGTGGGGCCTTGTCCAGTCCGTTGAGCCATTTGGGATCGCCCCCCACTTGGAGAAAGTCGTTGACGTGCAGATTCACCAAGTACGAGCACTGATGTCTCGCCGCCGCCTGAAAGATACAAGAGGATGAGTAAGATATCTTTATGTATACAGTGCTAAAGGAGTTAATGACTGCAAAATATGAGGTCATAATGCCTAAATAAGTGGGGTTTTTTTTATCTTAATTTGAGTATATTCTGTCTGTCTTAAAACAAGATTTGCCAATGGGACAAAACCCTTTAGTCTTTTTTCAAGAACTATGTACCATGATGCCGATGTAGTGTCGGTAGTGCAAAGGCAGCGGCCCGTCCATCTGCAACAGGTAGTGCTGTGTGCGCAGAAAGCTCCCCAGATACTGCGGGTGGAAGCTCATGACCAGGGAGATGTTGTCCAGGCGTCCGAGGGCGGCGAACGCATCCTCAAATATTGACTGCGTCCGGCCGTCCACTTTACTGACTTGGAGAATCTAAGCACAGAAAAAAAGGACATAAGTTTTACTCTAATGACACTCACACTCACACACTAAGCCTGGCTGTAATGCTGTGCCTTACCTCTTTTTCTGGGATAAATCTGCTTGGTCCGTTGCCAAGGGGTCTTGGGATCCTTACACCCAAGTCCTGCACAAAACAACAAGAAAAAAAAATCTTTAAACTCCACACAATGGTCTCCTGCAGTGAACACAGAACACAGCCCTTTAACGCACATAGCACTTAGTCTTTCTTCCTTCTGAGGGAAAGTCATTTAAATGGTTTCATGGGTTGTGCCTAAATCTGTGATAGTAATAGCGCTGTATTACGCATGACATCATATCATAAATATGATGTCATGTTTGCAGACTCAGGTGAAGCCCAGAGCCCAGAGCCCTAAGGTCCTGGTCCTTGGTCTCACAGACAAAAGGCAGGACAGTGTCGCTGTAAGTTTCCGCAGCTTTGCCCCGACATGTCCCACTCTGACAGCGGCTGCTCAGGCACAATGAGCTGACAATGAATGACACCAAAACTGCGCTTTTCTGGATAAAGCCTTTGTCATTGCAATGAACAACAGCAGTCTACACTGGAAACAGCAACCCTCAAACTGACATCAGACAGAATCAGAAAAACAAGTGAAAAACAGACTGTGGTAAACAGGCTCTGGACAAAGACTGATGTGCACTTTGTTTCCACAAAGACAGCAAACAATAAAAACATGTATCATTTCCATCTGGTCAGCGCATTTAAAAGTACTAATGCTTTCTTACCTTCTTGCTAAGCCGTTCACAATGGGAACATATCTTTAGGATGTTTGTCACTGCAAATGAATTATTCCCCACGGATTCTGTCGGTGCCACTGCGTGCCTCATATCGTGTTTTCGCCGTGTCGAAAGCTTTTCAGCTCCATACAATTAGAATCATGAAGTTTGGATGGCTTGGTCTCCTCTCTTTGTTCCTGGAGGCACTGGCTAAAGTGCTCGGCAGTCAGCTGTTGCAACCCACAGCAGAATACCGTCCTCTCAGGCATACATTCAGTATAAGACGGGGCTCGGGTGATTGACGTAAGGTCTCAGCCAATCAAAACACGAAAACAGCCTCTCCGCAGCCAATGGTGTGCAGCAGTGGCACGTGTGGGCGGAGCGGCCCGTGAGGGAGAGGGGGGTCCTAAACGTGAGGAGAAAGACCAATCCCCCGAAAGAAAACATCACTTCTCTCCGCTTCTTTTGTTCTGCACTGCCATTGATCATGATTGAATTTATTGTCAGCAATGCACCAGTGACGCACGATAATACATCACAGTGATTGCGGCCTGAATGCCTTCCTAATCACTACTATCAGGGTCCAAATCGATAATTTTGATAGGTTCACGTATTGACAATCAAGATAACAACAGCATTTTTCACTCAGCGCTGCATGCAATGCATAACTTACTAACACAGCAGTTGATAAACCATAAAAGCCTGTTTATTGCACAGTAACTACTGCATTCTGTGCAAGACTTCACCAACATGAAGTGGTCTATACAGCAGAGGCCTGAGCAGCAGAGGACGATGCAAGAAAAACAAGCTTCCTTTCAGTTAGTGGCTTGCAGCACAGCCTATCAGCTGCACATAATGTTATATATGTCCACCAATCAGGTTTAGAGCCCTTTAAAAAAAACAAAAGAGGAGATAAGGGAGGCAGCAGTGCTGGCTTTGTGTATGTCTGTTTTGCCATAACACATTCATCAGGGAGGTATAACTGCTGTATCACACTGCTCTATAGGCGGGAGGTGGCCTGTCAACGGAAGAAAGACTTGAAGAATCTGGATCTCGCATTATAATGAATGAAGTGACCAGGCGAGTCAAGTCAGAGACCGCAATAGTTTCTGTTGGCCTCACAGAACACTGGATTGTGTTTCATGTCTCAGAATAACACACCAAAACAAGACTTTTTGAGCAGTGAATTTAAGTTGTATGAATGACAAAAAAGCAAAATAAATAGAATATGAAATCAAAAGCTCTTAATAACTGGTATAACTTTTCTTGGCCAGCGGCAGGTTGGCAGCAGTGTGCGGTGATAGCACAGTATTCAGCACGTTCTTTGTGTGTTCATGGACCCCCCCAGACCCCCCTTCCCCTTCTCTCTCTCCTGTTGGTGGAAGGTAAACATGTTCAGGGCTGGAGTCAGCGTTAGTTTGGGACAGACCACAAAGAGCTCTGGTCCACTTCTGTATTCACCACTTCTGTATTCAAGTAGAAGTACAAGAGCCTTTCAGTGTTTCATAATATTAGATACATAATCACAATTAAGTGTAAACAGCAATGTTGTAGTTCATGGGCTTTTCATCATTCAAGTGGTAGTAGTAGTAGTAGTAGTAGCAGTAGTAGTCGTAGTAGTAGCAGTAGTAGCAGTAGCAGTAGTAGTCATAGTAGTAGCAGTAGTAGCAGTAGCAGTAGTAGTCATAGCAGTAGCAGTCGTAGTAGTAGTAGTAGTAGTTCAAGATTTCAAGATTTCAAGATTTTTATTTGTCAAACCAAGTGAATGGTTTGAAATTATATTTCTCTCATCCTTGATTGTGGAGCGGGGGGTGGGGGAAGAGGGGTGGGAGGGAGGGCGGGGGTGGGGGAAGAGGGGGGGAGGGAGGGCAGGGAGTTCAGCTTCCTGATGGCCTTGTGAATGAAACTGTTTTTAAGTCGACTGGAACTGTTCCGTAAATTCTGCAGTCTCCTCCCTGAAGGCATTACCCTGAAGAGCCTGTGTGATGGGTGCGTAGGGTCCCTGGTGATTCTGACGGCTTTGCGGGTGAGACGGGTGGAGTACATGTCCTTAAAGGTGGGGAGAGGGGCTCCACAGATCTTCTCTGCTGCTCTCACGATGCGCTGGAGGCTCCTTCGGCAGGAGGCAGTGCTGGTGCCGTGCCACCCAGTGATGGAGCTGGTCAGGATGCTCTCTACAGTCCCTCTGTAGAAGTTGCACACAACAGAGGCCGGGACTCCTGTAGCGCCTCTTGTGACGTCTCCACTGTGCTACAGATGCGTGGGGCCCTCGGTGACCTGTCAGCGCTTCAGAAGATGATATCTCTGGATTTGTAGATCTTAAATACTGCTCAAAAAGCCTTTAGCTCAGATGCTAACTCTGTGTTTACTTTTAAAAACACATCCTCTGTTCATTGCTAGCAAAGAGCTTTGGTAGTACAAAATCCGCTGAACTCCACAAAAACATGGCAAAGATGTACAACAACATCTTGCAAAACAATGCGGATCACAAAAACTGCAAATGCAGTTTGCAGAAAAAGGTAGAAAAGGGTAGAAACGTCACCTTGTCAAGAGAGAGAGAAGCCGCAGCATGTTCATGCGCCGCCATGGTAGTTGTAGTAGTAGCAGTAGTAGTCATAGTAGTAGTAGTAGTAGCAGTAGTAGTAGCAGTAGTAGTCGTAGTAGTAGCAGTAGTAGTCATAGTAGTAGTAGTAGTAGCAGTAGTAGTAGCAGTAGCAGTAGTAGTCGTAGTAGTAGTAGTAGTAGCAGTAGTAGTAGCAGTAGCAGTAGCAGTCGTAGTAGTAGTAGTATTAGCAGTAGTAGTAGCAGTAGCAGTAGCACTCGTAGTAGTAGTAGTAGTAGCAGTAGTAGTAGCAGTAGCAGTAGCAGTCGTAGTAGTAGTAGTAGTAGCAGCAGTCGTAGTAGTAGTATTAGCAGTAGTAGTAGTAGTAGTAGCAGTAGTAGTAGTAGTAGTAGCAGTAGTAGTCGTAGTAGTAGCAGTCATAGTAGTAGTAGTAGCAGCAGTCGTAGTAGTAGTATTAGCAGTAGTAGCAGTAGTAGTCGTAGTAGTAGCAGTAGCAGTAGCAGTCGTAGTAGTAGTAGTAGTCGTAGTAGTAGCAGTAGCAGTAGTAGTAGCAGTAGCAGTAGTAGTCGTAGTAGTAGCAGTAGCAGTAGCAGGCGTAGTAGTAATAGTAGTCGTAGTAGTAGCAGTAGCAGTAGTAGTAGCAGTAGCAGTAGTAGTCGTAGTAGTAGTAGCAGTAGCAGTCGTAGTAGTAGTAGCAGCAGTTGTAGTAGTAATATTAGCAGTAGTAGTAGTAGTAGTAGCAGTAGTAGTCGTAGTAGTAGCAGTAGCAGTTGCAGTCATAGTAGTAGTAGTAGCAGCAGTCGTAGTAGTAGTAGTAGTAGTAGTAGTCATAGTAGTCGTAGTAGTAGCAGTAGCAGTAGCAGTCGTAGTAGTAGTAGTAGTAGTAGCAGCAGTCGTAGTAGCAGCAGTCGTAGTAGTAGTATTAGTAGAAATAGTAGTAGTAGTAGCAGCAGCTGTATCAGTAGAAGTAGTAGTAGTCGTAGTAGTAGCAGTAGTAGCAGTAGCAGTAGCAGTAGTAGTCGTAGTAGTAGCAGTAGCAGTAGCAGGCGTAGTAGTAGTAGTAGTCGTAGTAGTAGCAGTAGCAGTTGTAGTAGCAGTAGTAGTCGTAGTAGTAGTAGCAGTAGCAGTCGTAGTAGTAGTAGTAGTAGCAGCAGTTGTAGTAGTAATATTGGCAGTAGTAGTAGTAGTAGTAGCAGTAATAGTCGTAGTAGTAGCAGTAGCAGTAGCAGTCATAGTAGTAGTAGTAGCAGCAGTTGTAGTAGTAGTAGTCATAGTAGTCGTAGTAGTAGCAGTAGTAGTAGCAGTAGCCGTAGCAGTCGTAGTAGTAGTAGAAATAGCAGTAGTAGTAGCAGCAGCTGTATCAGTAGAAGTAGTAGAAGTAGTAGTAGAAGTAGTAGTAGCAGTAGTAGCAGTATAGTGTGCATTAACTATCGTCTACGTTTCATGTTTGTTTTCTGTCACTTACACGATTAAAAGAAATGAAAATGAAATTGGGAAGACTAAAAACCTGTAACTCTTCACTGTGGAAAACACCTGAAATATTCTTTTAATGTTTAACCATCGTGATTCGTGTCAACACGTTTTCTCATGTTTATATAGTCAATAAAAACTGCTCTTTCAAACTGTGTGTGCCTGAAGTTATTGAACATGTATTTTCATCCTGCAAATCCAACTATAACATGTAAAAAAGCTGGAGTACCTCACTTTCTTTTGGTTCCATAAATTATATATATGTATTTTTTTAACATTTCAGACCTCAACTTACTGTCATCTCATCAGAAAACATAAAGCATGGTCGTCAGCGCTTGTGAGTAAGATTCTGGGTTCGACTCCAGCTCCAGACAAGGCCTTTCTGTGTGGATTTTGCATGTTCTGAAGGTTTCCTCCAGGCGCTCCAGTTTCCTATATACCACTAAAAACATGTGCAAAAGGTCTGAATTGAGTGAGTGCATAGATGGTGATGGTCAGGGGCTTTGTCGGTGTGTGGAAATGGAAATGTGAATGGAAAAATATTGGTACTCGGCGTTGTGTGACATCTGTCTGTGAAATGTTAAAATATTACTTGAATAACATGTTTTCTTTTACATACTGAGAGCTGATTGGCTGAGTGAGGGTGGTCTAAAGATTAAGATAAATATTAGAAAGATATGGTAGAATAAGTTTAATTTATTTGTTGTTTATGTACAGATAATGCCAACTTGCATAACATAACATTTTCTCACATAACATCAAGAAAACAGAACCAAAACACAAACATTATGAACCGGAATGGAAGAAGAAGCACCAAGAAGTACCATTTCAGTTCCTTACAATGTAGTCACTTCATAAACAAATACATTTTAATGATTAATTATCCACTTGTTTAAGTTCAACACAGTAACTTTTATGTGTACACCTTATTCAGAACAATAATACTTTTCTCTATACACTTGTTGAAACCGTTTAACACTTGGACATTATTTTAAATCAATGTCCACAGTCTGCCTCCACAAACAGAAGAACAAAAGCTTTTCCTAGTGTTAGAACTTGTTTCTGTGGTTTCAAAGTT